GGCCTGAGAAGAAAGGGATCTAGTTCAGCAACTGAAACATTTCAACCTGATTTAAGGGTAAGGAAGTTAAATTACAGCTCCAAAAACGGGGATTAAAAGATCCTAACAGGAGATGGAGATAAGTGACCACCTGGGGAACCCAAAGAAGGCTTTGTAAATTTATTGGGTGGCAGTCATGCATGACTGCCCCTGCCCCCCCACCCCTTTATGATCTATATATTTAATTTAAATGTCATCTGTACCTGGGGCCATGTTGGACACTGCCACGCTGCATTTTATCACAGAATCATAGAATCCTTAAGGTTGGAAGGGACCTTTAGAGGTCATCTAGTCCAACCCCCTGCACATGCAGGGTCACCTAGAGCATGTGGCACGCGACTGCGTTCAAGTGGATTTTGAAGATCTCCTGAGGAGGAGACTCCACAACCTCTCTGGGCAGCCTGTTCCAGTGCTCTGTCACCCTCACTGTTAAGAAATTTTTTCTTAAGTTCCTGTGGAACTTTTGATGCTTCATTTTGTGGCCGTTTCCTCTAGTTCTGTCTGTGGCCACCACTGAAAAGAGGCCAGCACCATCCTCCTCACTGCCCTCCCTTAAGGTATTTATAGACACTGATCAGGTCCACATCCCTCTTGTACTGTAGAGCGCAGAGCTGGACACAGTTCCCCAGATGTGGCCTCACCAGGGCTGAGCAGAGGGTCAGGCTCACCTCCCTCAACCTGCTGGAGACACTCTTCTTAACGTACCTCAGGATCCCATTGGCCTTCTTGGCTACGAGGGTACACTGCTGCCTCATGGTCCCCTTGTCCTCCACCATGATGCCCAGGTCCCTCTCTGCAGAGCTGCTCTCCAGAGGTTGGTCTCCAGCCTGTACTGGTGTCTGGGGTTATTCCTCCCCAGGAGCTGGACCTTGCACTTGGCCTTGTTGAATTTCATGAGGTTTTTCACCGCCCAGTTGTCCAGTGTGTCCAGGTCCCTCTGGATGGCAGCGCAGCCCTCTGGGAGGAGCAGCTGATACCCCAGTTTGGTATCATCAGCAAATTTGCTGAGGCTGTGCTCCACCCCTTCATCCAAGTTATTGATGAATAAATTGAGCAGGACTGGACTGAGGACTGAGCCCTGGGGCACCCCGCTAGCTACAGGCCTCCAAATAGACTCTGCACCGCTGATCACCACCCTCTGAGCTCTGCCATCCAGCCAGTTCCTAATCCACCTCACTGTGCACTCATCTATCCCATATTTCCAGAGCTTGCCCAGGAGGATGTTGTGAGGGACGGTGTCAAAAGCCTTGGTGAAGTCGAGATAGATGACATCCACCACTCTCCCCTCATCTATCCAGCTGGTCATTCCATCATAGAAGGCTATCAGGTTAGTCGAGCATGATTTCCCCTTGGTGAATCCATGCTGACTACTCTTGAGCACCTTCTTGTCCTCCATGTGCCTGGAGACAATGGCCAGTATGAGCCTTTCCATCACTTTTCTGGGGATGGAGTTGAGGCTGACAGGCCTGTAGTTGCCTGGGTCCTCTTCCTTGCCTTTTTTGAAGACTGGTGTGACATAAGCAAGAAGGGGCAAGGGGAGTGTCACAGACAGAGCAATCAGTACCATGCAGCCAAAGTCAGACAGCATCCAGTATGGTAGTGGGGAAGTGAGGATAGGATATGGTTAGAGAAGGTCCTCTTTCACCCCTCCTGGAAAACCTGCAGGCTCCATTACTTCCTTGAAATGCCTGTACACCAATGCATGAAGCATGGGGAATAAGCAGGACGAACTGGAGATCTGTGTGCGGTCCCAGCGTCATGATCTTGTTGCAATCATGGAGACACAGTGGGACAGCTCACATGACTGGAACGCTGTCATGGAAGGCTATGTGCTTGTTAGGAAGGACAGGCCGGGAAGGTGAAGTGCTCGAGTTGCTCTTCATGTGAGACAGCAATGGGAGTGCATGGAGCTCGGCCTGAGGGGTGGGTGATGCGCGAGTTGAGAGCTTGTGGGTAAGGGTTAAAGGGCAGGCTAATGTGGGAGACACTGTGGTGAGTGTCTGCTACAGGCCACCTGACCAGGATAAGGAAGTTGATGAGGCCTTCTATAGTCAGCTGGATGTTGCCTCACGGTCACAGGCCCTGGTTCTCATGGGGGACTTCAACTACCCCGACATCAACTGGAAGGACAACACAGCCAGGCACAAACAATCCTGGAAGTTCCTGCAGAGTGTTGATAATTTTTTGACGCAGGTTGTGGAGGAGCTGACGAGGAGAGGTGGGCTACTGGACCTCGTGCTAACAAATAGAGAGGGACCATGAGTTGGTGGAGTTCAGGATCCAACAAGGAGAAGGCAGGCCTGTAAGTAGCCTTGCAACCATGGACTTCAGGAGGGCCAACTTTAGCCTCTTCAGAGACCTCCTCGGAAGAATCCCATGGGCTAGAGCTCTAGAAGGAAGGGGGGTCCAAGAGAGCTGGTTAGTTTTCAAGCGGCGCTTCCTCCACTCCCAGCAACAGTGCATCCCTGTGTGTAAGAAGTCAGGCAGAGGGGGCAGGAGACCTGCGTGGATGAGGAGGGAGCTTGTGGCAATGCTCAAGCAGAAGAAGGCGGTATAAAGAATGTGGAAAAAAGGACAGGCCCCCGGGAGAAATACAGGAACGTTGTCAGGGAATGCAGAGATGCAACAAGGAAAGCTAAGGCATGTCTGGAACGCAATCTGGCAAGGAATGTTAAAAATAACAAGAAAAACAGTTTCAAATATATTAAGAGCAAAAGGAAGATCGGGGCAAACGTGGGTCAGCTGGTGAACGGGATGGATACCCTGGTTACGAATAACACAGAAAAAGCAGAGTTGCTGAAGGCTTTCTTTGCTTCGGTGTTTACCAAGGGCAGCCCTTTAGAGCCCCAGGCCCTAGGGACAAGAGAAGAAGCCTGGAGAGAGGAAGACTTGCCCTGGGTAGAGGAAGATTGGCTCAGAGAGCACCTAAGGAAACTCAGTAAATGTCATTGCATAATAAAACATCACTGGCACGTCTTGCAAAATGACGTTTACCTATGCAGTTTTTCATGGATAACAGTTGGTATTTATACAATCCCTTTAGTACTGGCTGTTGGAAGGAGTTTAATATTAGCCATGTTCTGGACCAATAGCAGGTTTTTGAGACCGAGCTGCTCTGGCTAGCTGAACTGGACACTTTGTCCCCAGGTAGCTTTCCAGGCATCCCCGCTTGTTGCAAGTGGCCTTGTAGAGCTGTGTGCCTCTTCATTTTCTTCCCCTATGGGCAGAACTCCATGCCTGGGGAATTGGCACAGCCTAGTCAATACACAATATGTGATATTTTATTTGCCTGGGCTCTAGCTTTCCAATGAGAGCATTACTTTTGGTTACACCAAGTTCCACCACAAACTTTTGGACATGTTACACTTAAAAATTGCAATGTATGGATTTAAACTCCAGTAAACATTGCATATTGATAAAACTTGCAAAATTGTGCAGCAGGCTGTTACTATCCAGTTAAAGGGTGGAGCTCATGCCTGAGTTCCAGGTAATGCCATCTTGCCTGGCGGACCATCTCATTAGGCATTTGGAGATATCTCACTAGGGAATTTGTTTTCTGCATTTCAGAACAAAATGAAAACCCGAATGGCTTCAGACATCTCCAGAAAATGCAATGGGGGATTCCAGAGTGCTTTAGCGAAACAACTGCAGTTTGCAGCATGGTGCTGAAAATCCAACAGTTGCTTGTGTTGTCTCAGGTTTCCCCTGTGAAGCGACACATTTCTGTATTAGCTTTCATGGCATGCTCATCGTGTTTAAGTGCCCACCTTCATCAAAAAAAGGCTTCTAAAAGCAAAGAGGGGGCATGTTCAGGTTTGTGCATGCCTTTGCCTGCATGCATCCCTGTGCTATGGAAGCGTGAAAGCAGGAATTGGAAAAACAAACAAAAAACAGAAAAAAAAAATCTGTTTCTTTGTTGGAACCAGGCGCAGGACAACTGCACAGGCCTTTACGGGAGCCGAGCCGGATTACAAGACACGATCCCAATATGAGTTTAGATCTTGCTCCGTTTATTAGCGGAAATGCACATATATTTATACCTACAAGCATCTGAGGGATATCCAGGTTAGCTACGATTGGTTGCTAGGGGGGTTGCTATGTCCCGGCCACATAGGCTCTTTCCCAGCTCCGCAAAGTTGTTTACCAGAGACGGCTAACTACTCTTTCCCACATAGCTCCCCATTCCCAGCTGGCCAAGGACAACTCACTAACACTCCCCAGTACATTATCAGCAAGGCGCAGGTGGTGCAGATTCTCAGCACAGTGCAGATTCTCAGCACAGCATTTCTCTACATTTCTTTGCTCGTCATTCCTTTCTTTAATTTTTAGGTTGGTCCTTAGTTTCATTTTCCTCTCAAGTTGAATTTCCTTTGAAATACCTGAGTGAGAGTTCCCCAAAATTATTTCAGGGTGGCATTGGAAAAAAAATAAAAGGGAAAAAAGGAGCATGTAAGTGGTGTATTAGGGTTCTTTTTGTGTAATTTTTTTTCCCCAATTAGAAGTGTTTCAGGAGATGTACCATGGATTTCTGTTGTGATACGTGAGCTGAGTGCTTGCTCAACGTGACTGCTGTTCTGGTGAGCTGTAAAAAGAGTTTTTATGATCAGTTTGTTTAGGCATGGTCTGCGTGCGAGACTTTGCAGAAGCCTTCTCTTGTTGTGATACTCTAGGTGCTTGTTCTGCACAAAAATGAGACTGTCTGAGATAGCGGAACACAGGTTTTTCAGACCTGGATTAACTAGATACTACTTCTTGCAAATGGATATGCCTTCAGTAAGCAGCCTCTATAAGAGCTCTTGGGAGACAATAGCGTGATCTGTTATGAGTGTATGTGAGCAAGGAATATGGCAGTCTAATTCTTGAGATTGTCTGATTCGGTTTCTTATTCCTGACGCTTAATTCACGCCATATTGCAAAAACAATCTTTAAAGCTTTGCTATTTTATTTCCTCCTTCTTCTAGGTAGAGGCATTAACCCATCAACCTCGAGCCACAACAGTGCATGCAGTCAGAGATTCAGAGCTTGCCAAACTCCCAGAGGGAGCCCTGACGTCTATCAAACGCAAATTCCCCCAGGTAAGAAGGTTTAAAACAGTTCTCTGTCTATCTCAAAAGATGTCTGAGGAGCTAAAACTCTGCATTACCAGCAAGTGGGATGTTTCTGCGTGATTTCTTCTGCTGAGAAGATGTTTTGCGCTCAATCTGATTCTTCTGTATTAGACTTTAAACAGTTTCTTTTCCTTTAGAGTCTCATCTCTATATGTTTTTTTTTTTTTTTCCTGGTCGTGTCTTATTCCAGAGCTACTTTATAATTCTGGAAGAAGTTCATGTTAAAATGTAGAACATGCATATTTAGCAAAGTGAAGACCGCCTAGTGCTCTTCATAATAAATGAAAGTTTAATTTCTAAAACCACTTTAAAATGTTGCTGTTCCTTTGTCTTCCTCCCTAGGACTCAAACTCAGCACTTGGTTATATGTCCCTTTGTTTCCACAGCATAGATATTTGGAGGTTGACTTGCCTCTTCCTTGCCTTTTATACTGTCAATCCTTATTTGCCACTACCATGTCACTCTGTGTCCTGAATATTGTGATTGCTCTCTAGAATCTATCAAATCATCTATCTTCTTTAATTCAGTTGACATTATACCTTTCCCCTGTGAATCTGTAGAGTGACAGACTTGAAATTTAATTCTTTCATCCCTAAGTGCATCAGGGACATTATACTAAGCAGTAAATCATTGCAGTAGCCTTAAAGGCGTCTCTTTTTTAATGCTGTTACTTTTATATTTTTTTTCTTTTCCCTAAGACATGTGTTTATTTTACCAGATTTTTTTTTCAAAAGCTTGACTGCAAAAGTAATAAAATTAATTAAAATATAATTATTTTTTGCATTCCTAAGACCCATAATAGCTCTTTCAGTTTGACTGTAAAATATAAAACATGCATTCATGTGTTCTCACCCAGCAAAAAACTGCAGAGGCTTTGTCTGCTAGGAGAATGTTATTTCATCACTGCAGAAGTGATGTTACTTAAAAATCATCTTTCTGGTTTTCCTTAAAGCATCATTCTTTTCTAAGGTGTTTCTGAACTTCTCTGAGTACTTAGGCACCATAGTTTGCTAGATCTCTCCTGAATAGTCTGTGGTTTTTGGCCTTCTATGTTTAATATAATAGACTTCATAGCCAGCTTTAGGAGCTGCTAGCAATGTGCAATGTCCGTACGTATGCAGGCCTAAAGTAGCTAACAATGGCATGACAGTGTCTTCAGTTGCCCCTTTATATATCACTCTCGTTGCCGACTCATTGGGAGGTGAGGAAATGCTCCCAATGGAATTTAAAATTGTTCCCTGCATAGTGAATGGCTTTAAATGTTGCCAATAAGCATTTAAACCTTTAATATTTAGTAATGCTTTGAATCAAATACTGATCTGCACAAGGACTGCATTCTAATTCTGCCTTGTTATCTGGGCCAATAACTGATTTTTGGTGTATTTTCTCTCCCTTTCCTCTTCCTGTGCTCTCAGTGGGCAAAATTGAATTTTATTCTTTTCCTCTGAAGGAAAGATTGGATTGATTTTGTTGGTTTTCATCCCTGCAGGGATATGAGTCTTTGCTTTATTGTTAAAGGTGAACTTCAGTTTTACATTTGTAGTACAATTCAAACATTTATTTGTGATACAGTTCAACTGTATTCCCATCTGTGGTCTATCAGTGACAAATTCTTGACCCTTTTGAATAAGTAATTAGTTTTCTCAAGACTTGCATATGATTTGGCTAGATAGTTAGGTAAATGGATCTTTAAAAAAAGGGGGGGAGGGCATCTCAAACGGACTTAGAAAAAAACGTTGTTCTTTGCTGCTGTTTGAATTCTCCACATTCTAAGCTAAGTGCTAAACTGGCACCAAAAATGTAAAGGCTTAAACTTTTGCCATCAGATGTTTTTAGAACAAGCATTACAAACAGGAAGAGCAGCATAAGGTAGGGCTTAAGTTGGAGATGTGTGCTGTTAACACCTTTAGACTGCCTTAAGATCCTAAGATAAAATGTTTATGATATGAGCTCAAAGTTCATGTGTTTCCTTTTTGGTCTGTTAGATCCCTCAGACAAATGGAGACAAGGATAGAAGTGAGTGGGAGTAATGGAGCAAAACAATCAGGTGGAAGGTTTGAAGTCAAGCAGAAAGTATGAAGTCAAGTGTGAAGTTCAGGCCACTTACCAGAGAGGTTTATAAGCTAGAAATTACTAAGTGGCATACCCAGAGCTGGCCTGGGTAGCAGTTGCTTAGAGGAAGAATACAGGGATTATACAACATTAAAAGCTGAACATGACTTAGTTATGTCATGCAGTTGTAGAGAGGAAAAGAAAAAGTAAGCAAAAAAAAACCTATGATAATAAAATGCTTTCTGAAGTGAAGAAATTCTTGTATTCTCCCTGATACTGGAGAAGTTTCAGTATCTGCCTGTGGCAGTATGCCTGAAGAAATGTTGAGGAGCATCTAAAGGTCAGTAAGGAGGTGTTTAGGAATATGCAGACCAACAAAGGCAAAAAGACTGAAGTGTTAAAGGAAGCCATAATAAATATTTCCAAAAACATAAAGTTAGAATATTTATACTTGCGATTTATGATGTTTTTTCCCCTACCCAACCAGAAGAAATAAAACAATGAACTACTGTACTTGCTATGCCCTACCAAAGGAGAAATGTTGACTAGATAGCAAAGAGCCTTAACTAAGAGTCTTAATTCAGCAGTGCAATGGAGGGTTTCCCTCTTAGTCCTTTCAAATCAGAAAACCAAGTAAAAAACATAGTTTCCTATTGATGGATAAGGCTAAGTTAACTTGAATCTAGTTCGGCAGAATAGCAATCAATGGTTGCTGGCCCACTGAGGCAGGTGAACTCAGTTCTCAGCTGGGCTGCTCAGAGGAATCCCACAACAGGGGCAATTGCTTTTGTTCTGAGCTCAGAGGCCTCAGTAGAGCCTGAATAGTCTCTGTTTTTAACAGCCAAGAATTGTGTAGTTACAGAGATTGAATTACCCTTTTGACTTAATTACCCTTGAGCTTTATTATTTCCTGTCAAGAGTAAAGAACCCTTTAATTCTAAGAATTGGAGAAGTGAGTGAGTCTGTGCTGCCTGCTTTTTGCCAACCAGGATGATTTTGTAGAAGATACATTCATCAGTGAGATCCTATTCTGTTTTATAAGACAACATTTGAAACATGAGTAGGGCTTGCTGACTAGGACAGCAGGGAACAAGTGAAAATGCTCTGTGTTCAGTGGAGCAATTCAGGTTTTTTGAGTTGTGATGTGCAATCCAGAAGAATTACCCGAGGGATGCTTGCTGCTTGGGCAAGCACCGTATACTTGTCTTCATTTTTTGATTGTCTTCTCTGGGCATCTGCTTTGGTCTTGTCAGTTCAAGACCTTGGTCTGCTGGGATTTTGGTCTGACCCACTAAAGCTACTCTTATTCTGAGAAGGGGAAAAAAAGGCAGGTGCAGTAGGAAGCTCATGAGAGTGCTACGTAGCAGCCTAATTTTCCAAGGACTTGCCCAGAAATGAAAGACGGTATTTCTAGAGCCTGTTCAGTCTGACGAGAGTCAAATGCATCTCTCACAGGCTCTCAGGTTAGCACTCCAATCCCAAGGCTTTTGGAATATGGCATCACAGAGGCTACCGGTTGAAGGTGGGCTACAAGGCAAATCCTCTCCCTTGCCTTTCTAGGATTTGGGGTAGCAGGAGCATTGCTTGCTGCCATAGTGGCCACGGCACTGAGCCAGAGAGCGTATGCTCCTCCGGCAGACTCTGTGCTTGTTTCTGGTGCTACTTTAAGCTTTTGGGAGCTGCAGGAGCTGGTATGGAGTCTTTCTATTTTCATTGACTCTTTCTGAAAAGTAGGGCAGAGAATCGGCTCATGATTTTGGCATCGTGAAGCAGTCGCGAGCAGTAGAGCAGATGAGAGCTGCGCTCACATCAACATGGATCCTGATTCATAGGTTATCTGCCTCTGCTGAGCAGCAGTGGCTCTGCGAATAGCAACTTGAAACACAGATTGGTAGCAGCGGATGGAAACTGCATCGAGAAATTGCTTGGAAGTGGGGAAGTGAACTGCAAGACAACCTTCTGGCAGCGCACACAGGAAAATGAGCTGTTTTTCCGCATTTTCGCTTTCTCTTACGTCTGCTCTTGAGTTTTGGGTATGCCCTGAATACATTGGCCATCTTGAGTCCTATGATTACATTGGGGCTGTTTTAAGCAGTGTTTTCTGAAGGAAGCTGAGCCTTCCCGAGGGTTATCCGCCGTGCGAAGTCCGCTCGTCAACAGAGGGCTCTTCTTCCAGAGCTGCCCTCAGGTGCTGCTGCCACGTGAGGCCTGGTGTTACTTTAGCTTGATGGGGCTGCAGTGGCACAGGCAGGTGAGGCTGTGGCCTGGCTTTCACTGTGCCCTGTAATCCCCTGCTCTGAAGGTGTCGCTAAACTGTCATTTAATCTAGTTCATTTAAAGGTGATCCATTGATTGGCTCATTCAAAGCAGAAACACTTAACTACCACGTTTTGTTTTTAAACTTCCAAGTTTCAGTTGAAAATATTGACCTTAACTGCAAGACGTTTTGTTCGCTGCAAGAATACAGTGCTTTTGGGTGCAGTATTTTTACTAGCGAGTATCAGAACGGATTTGCAAGAAAGCTGCATGCTGGGGCCCCAAGTGGCAGGTCAGGTTGGCTCCCGCATTACTGTAGCCACATGCTGTGGAGGGAGACTAGGACTTCACGGTCCTTCGTAAGACTGTGACCCTCAGCCATCTTACATAGGTGCTTGGCTGCTTAGAAATATTGAAAATAACCTACATGATTATTTGAAGCTTAGTTCAGGTGTAAAAGATACTGTTGTCTTCAAGCCAGTGCCTTGCAAAAGATCATGATGTGAAGCTGTCAGGTAGGACTCAACTGCAACAGACAATGGGATTGTCTTTGTACTACAGCATTGGGAAGCGCACATGGATGCTCCAACTGCCCACTTCTTCTCTTTCAGCTGAAGTGCCTGCAGACCTTAAAAATGACAAGAGTCCGCTCCAGGGCAAGGCCTTCAAGATGGCTTCTGCCTTGGGACAGGAGAGGCAGGACCTGGGTTAGTGTCCCTTTGCTCTGACATTGATGGCCTGCTCATCCAAACACAGAAGAAATAGCTGAACAAATTCAGGCCAAACAGTGTTATTTGATATTCAGGATGTTTAATTATTTGCATACCTTAGGAAAGTGCTGACTTCTTTGCTCCTTGAGGTGCTTCTCTTGTTTCAAAAATACCTTTTTGAAACAGATGGATGGGATCAGACATGCTCATGGCTGCTTTGTGATTTCTTGGCCTCCTTTGCAGCATGGAGCAGAGCTGCTGAATATATGTTTTATTTTTGTTCTTTTCCATGTTTCTCCTCTTCTAACAAAGACAATTTTGTACTACACAGTGCCTTCTGAATTATTTAACTGTTAGCAGTAATAGCCTCTGAATTTGGAAAATGGATCTTGATGTAGATTTTTCTTGAAGTATTTCCCATGAGTTCTCTAAGTTAGTTTAATGGAAAGTTAGTTAGGAAGAATAGCATTGTTTGGTACCATCTGTTTCTATTACGAGATTGTTGATTTGTCAGGCAATCTGTAATATTCATAGATAAATACTTTCCTTGTATGCACATTTATTTACAACCAAATTCTCATTAAAATTGTTCTGAAAAGGACTTATTGTAAAGCAAATCTAAATTTAACAGTTGACTGGAAACCAAAGTTTTACTAGGATCCAGCCTTGAGAAATTTAGGTAGATGTAAACAACAGTTTGAAATATTTCAGAGAATTATAGGAAATACAACATGGTGTAATCATAGCAGCTCAAGTGTGAGGAGTGGAAATAGCTGTGGAGCAAGTGGTGCTCATGATAATTCTGACCAGGTGAGGTGGATGGAGTACTTGTCTATACACTGGTGCCATCACTAGCATGTGACACCATGTTGTAACATTTTGTGGTCCCTTTACTGAGGGAAGCTTGTTTTTAAAAGGAAAATAAGCCATCTTGACATGGGCAAGTGCAGAGCCCTTAGGAAAGCGAAGTCTCGAATGAAGTCCTTTGTCTTCTGAAATCAAACCAGGCTAAAATTAAGCCAACGGGTGTCTGGAAGGAGAACGAAATAATTTGCTTTGTTTGTCTCCATCTTGATTTTTTGTTTGGTTTTCTCTTTCCACCCTGGATTGCTTCCATATAAGAAAACCAAATAAATGTTACCTAATGTGAATCCATGGTCAGAAACATCGCTTACTTTTTTATTATTTTTTTCTTTTTAACTACATCTCATTTTTTCTTCCTCACCATAGGCTGCCAGCCAAGGCCACTTCTGCATGAGCATCTGCTGCTCCCCCTTGTAGAGTATAGGGATTTAGATGTCCAATGGGCAATTTATTTACTTATTTTGGGCTCTCCATTGGTTTTGAGTTCTCCCCATTTGTAGTGAATTTGGTGAAAGTTTGTTTGGCTGCTGTACCGAATAACAAAATTCGGTCAATTGTTGAAGTTTGGGTCTGCTGTCACTCAGAAGACTTAAACTGACTTCTCCCTAAGACTGATGATCAAACCACTCTTCAAGAAAGTCATTGCTATTTTGTGAAAGAGGATTTAGTGTATATATTGCAGAACTCCAAGGAAATTTGAGGGCAGCTCTTAGCTAAAATCTCAAATTGATGTTCTTTCTACGTTGCCATGACTGCAACGGAGTGACTCATCTTGTTATGGTTAGCAATTTGCTTGTCTTACAAAGTCACTGGGGAAATAATTTTTCTGTATCTGTATGTAGCAAGGCTCAAGATTTGCTTTAGCAAACAAGACAAATAATATTTCTTGGTAACAGGAGCAGCCAACTGGAAAATGAGACCAGCAGTGTCTATTCTTAGCTCCGTCATTAACCTTGGGCATTTACTTTAACTTAGCTATAGTTCTCCTTAACGCTCTGTAAAGCTGAAATAGTTATAAATACAGGAGATTTTTTTTTAGCAAGTGGTTAAAATCCTGGTGTTTACGTTGGGCCAGTAGTGTAAAACATTGGTGAAAGCTAGTTCTGCAACCATTGGAGTAAAGTCATAGCATGTAGGGAGGCTTCTAGGTCAGCATGGGGGGGGATCTCAAGAGGTGGGTGATCTCCCTTAAGAAGGGAGATCAGCCTAATCATTTTGCTGAGCATTCCCTTCCTTGCTTCCCTGCCACCCATAGCTGAGGCAATAACAGAACTGGGTGTCGTCAGGGAGCGCCGAATCCCAGAACTGCAGATTTAAGCATTGTAAGACAGTAATGGGTTCCTCTAGTGCTGGGGTTGCAGAAAACTCTTATTGCACTTCTGACAAATTGTAGTGTTTTGGATCTTGTCTGAGATTCTAGAGGTTGGCAGCTCCCTGGCAGGCAGCGGTTGGCCTCAGGTAGTTGTTGCCGGTTAGTGGTGGTGGTCTTGCTAGATCCGTGCTCTCTGCTAAGCAGGTTTGGAAGATTGTGTCTATTACCCATGCAGATAGGAGAAATTTCAACCTTCTCAATGACAGGAGATCAACTCAGGTGTGGCATCATCAGAAACTTGCAGTTATGGCTATCATAAATTAAATCACTCAACCTTATTTAGCTCTTACTCCATGCTGACATTAATAATATGTTGGAAGCTCCCCCTTTGCTCTTCCCCCTTCCTCCTTCAGGCATTTGGAAAATATCTTACAAGATTTTTACAAATCTTACTAAAATATGAAGATGCATGGTCTAGAGCAGTTCTTGAAGCAGGAGGAATAGCAAGTTCTGGTGAGCATGCTGACCTGTCTTGATGATTTCACAGCCTTTTACTTTGAAAACTGCATCCTGAAGTGCTTGTGCTTTGGGAATAGTCTCTCTGTGTGCAAAATCCAGCACAACCCTTTACTGCTTCTTGTTTTAGCTTGTTAGAGTTTGGAAATAAAAATAGACAAGTATATGAGGCACTTAGTGGCATGGTTTAGCTGGCATGGTGGTAATAGGTTTGACTCGATGATCTTAAAGGTCTTTTCCAGCCATAATGGTGTGGGTTTTTTTTTTTTTTCCTTCTTTCAAATGTCCGCCTGACAATGAGAGCTACTTTGACCTTGAAGTAGCTTTCTAGGGGAGAAAATCTAGTGGTTACTATATTAGTTCCTAATGTGTTTCATACTTCTTCTCAGTATCTAATGATCAACTTGTGCATCCCTTTCCGGGATAAACGACCTATTTTCCAAGTGGTGCCACTCCTTGCTATTGAAGTTACTAGTCTGCCGCTGGACAACTTGTTGGCAATTATTGATGGCTGACACTGGGGATCAGCTGGTCAGCTTTTAGAGAAGCAAGGCTTTTAAAATACCAGTGTGTATCAGTAAAGATCCTGTTCAGCATAGCCCTGAGCCTCTCAGGTACCTGTTGGTGGTACAGGCATGCAACCACGTCTGCATAAGGAGAGTAAATTTATATTAGAAGTGTAAGCACACTGGGGAGAGAAAAGAAAAAAAGCTGAAAATATGATTAATAATGCTTCCAAAATAACTAGATTCTTTTTATTTTTATTTCCTCTATTAGAATGTCTCTTCTCAGAATTCATGCAAAGGGCAATATCTTACAAAAGCTTGAAAGTATCTGTTTAAATACACTATTTCTAGTACATTCTGACAAATTATTTTGTTTTCCTTTCCCCCCACCCCCACTAGGTTGTGACTAGACTTATTCATTTGCTGGGCGAGAAGATTCTTGGCAGTCTTCAGCAGGGAGGTAAGTCATTCCTGGACTATTCCCACTTATCCTGGTGCTTTCTTGGAGCTAGATTTACATCATTAAATCCAGAAACAAAAAGCGCATGCTCCAAAAGAGTTGATCTTAACTGTGGCAGCAAGTGAATGGTGGTTTAACTGTCCAAAAAAAAGTCCAAAAAATATTTGTATGGAGCAACTAAGTATGGGAGTGGACTAACTTGCAGCTGAGATAGAAAAGTACCGTGCAGTGAAATTTCCTTGAAGTTCATTGTGAGAGAGCTCAAAGGGAGTATCAGAAATAGTAACTACTATAGTCTTAAATCAGATAGCGATGCTGAATAGGGTCTGCATATGGGCTGACTTAATATGTCTGTATTTGCCTCATCTGACAGCAAGCCATTTGTTATTTATTGGCTCCTAAAATTTGTGTATGTGGCAGAAGCTGAAACAAAGTAAATTTAGACGAAGTGAGTAGGAGGACATTTCCATATAGTTGTTTTTTCTTGGTCAGGTTTTAAAAGGAAATAAATGCATGTTAATTACTGATAGCCTTGTGGGGCTCTTTGCTGATGTTGTTTGTTTAATCATTTAATTAAAACAAAAATCTTACGATATTTTCATTGCTGTTTTTGAGGTATTTCAAGGAGACTGAAAGTATGGCCTTTGACTAAATTTTGGTGGGTTGTTCTGGAATAGTTTTGGGGAACAAAATCTAAAGTCTGCGTAATTGGCTTTATATAGAAATCTCTAGAGGTAATTGCACTTAAATTGTGCTGCATGCTTAAAGGCCTTATGGAGTAAGGCAAAGTCTGCTCTGGGGAATAAGGTAGTTTTGTGATCTGGAGAACATGGGAGGAAAATTAGCAGTAGTTATAGGAGTTCAGTTGGAGAACTCTCTGAAGTTCAGAGGAAGGAAGGAAGGATTCATGGAGATGAAAGAACTGAACAGTGACATGTAGCTTGTTTGAACCTACAAATATCTTCTTGAAGAACACCAAGAAGAGTTGAAAATCTGTTCAATGTTCTGTGCAGGACTATTTTAGAAGATGTGCAATGAAAAACACAATGGCTGAGTATACGTGAGAAAAGTTTATCTGATACTCTTTTTGTCCTAAGGTGTCCTGTGCAGTAGATCAGACATGCAGGCTTTGAAAGAGCTTTCTTGTCAATTACAGCATATCAAGTACTCTGATGAGTCCATCTCAAAAATTTATTGTGATAATTTATCCTAGGCCTTTTCGTGGATGAAATATATGGCTGGATGTTAAAATTTAACTTAGGTGACATTAAGTTTATTGCATGCTGTTTATTACATTACTGTAATCTACATTACTGACTGAGTCAATAGGTGCTAGGAGCAAAATAAGGTTGTCTGAGAAGGCTTTTTTTAAAGAAAATGTTAAAATTGAAAGATTGATTTATGGAACACTCCTATCATTCTTTTCCTGAGCTTTACTTAAGCAGCCTACCTTAATATATTGGAGATACGTCCACAGGTACTTGAGAATTCCGGATTTTATTTTATGAAGCTTCCCATTTTCCTAGCTTGAGGAAATAAAAAGAAGCGGAGATATTTATTCCCTGTAAAAATCTTTATTTGGTGAACAAGTGGTTCAAATTGCCCTTTTGTTCCTTTCTTAGTAGGTCATGTAAACGGTATGTATGTTTTTACATCACCTTTTACTCACATATGCGATGTCAACAACAAAGTTGATCTTCACCTGAATGAAATATGTGGGAGCTCCTTCCATTTATGTTAAATTGAGGATGTAACACTGAGATTAGTTCAGTGGTGTTTCCTTTGCTGCCTGACGGTTGAAAACAATGCGCTCTGAAATGACATTTAGCTTTTTGGGTTGGCTGATGGTATTTTTTTTTCTTTAATTTTCTAAGCAGGTCATCCGCTTGGATTACACACCTCGAGTAGCAAGTGGGATGCTGGAAACCCTGCTAATAACCTCTCCACGGTAGCAATTATGCCAGTGTCTGAAGAAGTACCTCTTACTGCTTTTACTCTGGAGCTCAAGCATGCGCTCAGTGCTGTAGGTAAGTTGTTTATTCGTTACTGCATTAAGGGAAGTAAATGTTTCTTATCTTTTCTTTTTTTTTAAAAAAAAA